AAAGGAAAGGAAAGGAAAGGAAAGGAAAGGAAAGGAAAGGAAAGGAAAGGAAAGGAAAGGAAAGGAAAGGAAAGGAAAGGAAAGGAAAGGAGGGAGGAAGGGAGAGAGAGAGAAAGAGAAAGACCAGCCCAATTGCTCGTATGTTGATCCTGGCTCATGGTAACCTGTGCGTTTTAGAGTAAAAATGTTTCCGGTTTTCAAAGGCTATTATTTTTCAGAAGTAAAATTCTAGCTCTTTCTTTTGAGATGCCTCTGGGGATAACGTAGCTGCCAACCTTTCAGGAGCTTCCTAACTGAAGAATTCTAAGAGTTGGGTTTCAGAAAGAATGTGGTCTTCAGACAGACTTTTAGTTAATCAGGGAAGAATTGCCTCACCTGATGGCCTAGAAAGACTTATACTGAGTTCCCCTATACTGTGAGGTTTTTGTTTTCTTTTTATTTGGTTTTCAAATATTGAGGAATATGAAAGGAGTACAGGGTTTTACGACTGTGGAAACTATCCACTTGGTGTTACTAAAATATATCTTATCTACTTGTCAAAGAGTGGTTAGGAGAGATAAGAAGGAATTTCATGAAAATAAACAGCAGATTTGTCCTGAAAAGTAAAATTTATGATGAAGAATTAAATATGAAGACAGTATTGGGAGTGATTTTAAATGGCCCCATTATCTAAAGGACTCTGCTGTTGTTCTTTCCTCACTGAAAAGCAAATAAGAGGAAGCAAGCTTACTGTGAGGGACCAGGGCAGAGTGGCTACGTATGAGGAAGCAAATCCTGAGATCAAAATGGCCAACCAGTATTCTGAGTTAGGTGTCCTGAGAGTTTATCACCTTCCTTAAAAGAAGAGCAAGCGTATAGCAGAATGAATAAGTCAGAAGAATTCCAAGATGATAAGGTGTTTGAAGCAAGAACTGAGACTTAACTCCTGCCAGTGACGCCCCAGTCAGGCTTCTCTTAGCTGGCCTACTGCTCACTGGGTTAAATGGAGAATTAGCTCACCCAGACTGATGGCCCGGAAGGGAGATCGATGGGCCAGTATCTATCATTCTCTTTCAGAGTCGCCAATGGATTTGAACCACCACCAAGTGCACTCATTGAGTTAGTAGAGCAACTGGCTATGGATGACTTCATCACAGGGACTCTCTAAGCACAGGCTGACAGAAGTAATCCTGAGCTGGCCTTTCTTCTTCTCACTCAGCTCTGGTCCACAATGAGGAAGTGACCTTTTTGCAGTTAAGGAAGCCAAATAATTCCTGCTTTTGTTGTTGTTGTTGTTGGTAAGGGCCATCTAGTAGTAAGTAGATGACTCATAGCGACTCTATGAACAAAAAGCTGAACATTTGTATAACTTTAATCGTTTCTCCAGGTTCATAGGGTTTCTGGAGGCAAGCTATTTTGGAAATGGATGCCACTCCTGCTTCCAAGCTTGTTTTAATCGGAGAGGTCCACCAAACACTGTCTGCCATGGGTAACCATTATCATATTTGATACATCAGTGTCACTGTGTTTAGCATCACAGCAACCACGAGTTACCTCTGTACAGCAAAAAAAATAATTCCTACTTCTCAAAAATGTATTCGCTCCCATCATACAGCTATGGGTTTACCAGGCCATTGAAGCAGCAACTTGAAGATTGTGGCGATGTAGACAGTAGATCACAGTTTGTTTCCTCATCAAAAAAATTTAGAGCTGGAAACCATCATCTTAATCTCACTCCCTACATGTCTATGCCAACTCATAGCAACTCTCTGTTGGGATTCTAATGCTGTAAATGTTAATAGAGGGAGACTGACCATCTTTCTCCCTCAGAGCTCCAAGGTGGATTGAGACTCCTGGAGATGCTGGGTCTTTTTGGTTGTCATCATGACATACTTCGACTGCATCATCAGAGCTCCTTGGGGAAAGCACCTTGGGTACCATCTGTTGGTGGTGGTGTGTACTATAGAGTCAGAACTGACTCACAGCTGATCCTCCAGCAGGTTTTCAGAGGTAGTTAATCACACAGGAGGAGGCTTTCCAGCCTTCTCCCTCAAAGCAGCTGGTTGGCTTGAACTGCGTGCCTTAGGGTTTGCAGAGCAGTTTCTTGCCACTAAGCCACCAGAGCTCCCCAGATATCATCTAGCCAAATATTATTTGATCATGAAACACAGTTTTTCTAATTCGGCACTGAAAGAACTTCAACAGAATCAGGACTAGAATGTACATTTGGATTAAAGAAGCAATAGTCTTGCCAATCAATTAATTGCTACAAGAAATGAGTCTGATGAACATAAAACTTAACTCAAGGCCAGAGTTCAACTGCATGCAGAACCAAATTGTAAACCCTACTTTCAAAGTGAGTTATCCCAGTTAGGATACGACTCTCTTTTTCCATGCCACATAACAATGAAAGTGCTTTGCTATGCATTAGAGACTAAAGATGACAGAGAAAGAGTCAACACCTTTGAGTGGTGGTGTTAGAGAAGAATATTGAACATACTATGGACTGCCAAGAGAGCAAACAGGTCTCTCCTGGAGAGGGTGAAATCAAGTTTCTCCCAGGAGGCTACTATTTTGAAGCTCTCTCTCACATATTTGGGCATGTTGCCAGGAGGGATCTGTTCTTAGAGAAAGACATCATGCTCAGAAGTGTGGAGGGGCAGCTCAGGGGAGGAAGACCCCAGATGAGATGGATTGATACAGTAACTGGTGTAACAGGGGGTTGGTGTGTCGGAATCAGTGAGACTGACTCAGGACAGGACAGACTTCCGTGCTTTTGCACCTATATAGGATCACTATAAGTTGTACTCAACAACACATAACAACAATTAAAATGTAACTTCACAAGCAAAAATGAGCATAAGTAGTTTCCAAACTAGTTCAAGTCCTACAGTATATTTCAAGAATTATTTATGTAAACATAAACTTATACATAGAATGAAGTAGTCTTTTCAGAGTTCTATTGTAACACAGATGGTCACCACAAGTCAGAGTGGACTCAGTGGTGCTGATTCAGGTTCAGCTTCTAGCTTCATGATTTAAAATTCATGCTTTGCGTATTTGGCTTAACAATAATTCAGAATTTTATTTTTCTTAATTAGTCTTCTTTCCCCCAAAAAAATGTAATCCTATTAGCATCCTATATTATATTAACCCTATATTAGGAAACCTGGTAGCCTCCTGGCAAGAAGCTGTGCTGTAATCCCAAAGGCACACAGTTCAAGTCCACCAGGTGCTGTGCAGGAGAAGGATGGGCAATCTCCTCATGTCAGATTAAGTGCCTCTGAAAACTCAACATAGGGTCAGCTATGAGTAGATTTCAGCTTTAGAGTGCATAACAACAATAATCAGGACCTTACCAAGGAGAAGGCCCATCCCTACTCCCAGCTCCTTCTCCACTCTCAGTATCTTCTAATTATTCCTACTGTTATTATTGGTGTTATGTACCACTGAGTGGCTCTGACCCACAGCTGATTCTCCTGTGGGTTTCCAGAGGCAGTAAATCAGACAAGAAGAGATTGGCCATCTTTCTTTAGAGGAGGGGGCATATTTAAACCACAGACTTTCGCACTGGCAGTGTACAGCCAAGAGAACAAGTAGGTCCGTCTTGGAGAGGGTGAAACCAAGTTCCTCCTTGGAAGTAAGGATTTTGAGGCTTCATCTCACATACTTTTGGGGAAAGATCAGGAGAGACCAGTCCTTGGAGGGCATCATTCTTGAAAGGGAGGAGGGACAGCACAGGAGAGTAAGACCCCAGATGAGAGAGATTGACACAATCGCTGGGGCAATGGGATTGGGTGTGTCAGAATCAGTGAGACTGGCTTAAGACAGGACAGGGTTCAGAGCTATTATGCATAGGCTCACTATGAGTTGCAGAAGACTCGATGACACATAACAATAGCAACAAGAAGTCTATATCAGCACCCCATGACAATCTCTAGGGCATCTGAGATGAGCATTTCCTATAAGAGAGGTAATAGCTCTTCAACTCTTCTGCTGGCTACACTTTTAATTTTCACACTCCTAACCCCTTCAGCCAACCCACATGTGATTGACCCATTTGAACCCACAGCACACAGCCACAACCTTCAAACAAACAAAAATCTATTCTACCATTTTTTCACAGAATTTGACTCTTCCAAACCAGAAAACATTTTAAAACTAATTTCAGATTATGTCTATACTTGTACATTTGGGAAATGGTGCTTTCCATATTTGGTAATTTTTAATAACTTCCTCTAGAAGCCATGTAGTGTAATTCACTAGGGTAACTATTTTCCATAAAATAAAATGCAAAAACACTGAAATGACTTCCCCATAAAGCTGATTAGACTCGGGCGGTAAGCCCAGTTCTTATGAGTCATTGATCATACCTTCCTAGTGACACCTCTTTATGATCAAGGGCTGAAACTTCAACACAACAGGTTACGTAAGTGTGCAAACGGAACACTGGACCCCAGGCCAGTGGGAGAGGCTGCCAGGTCCCAAAATGAAAACCCAAAGCCAGCCCCTCCTGAGCATCCCACAAACCTGCACCCTGCACGGTTTGTATTAATGTCTCAGACCCCATGCTCCCAACCCATACAATTGAGGGTGTGGATGGACTCTAGACTTGAGTTTGAAAATGTTTCCTCATGTAATTTTCTAATGAATAATTTCCTTGCCTGACAGATTAACTATACAGAAATGTGTGCAGATTGTGCAAAACTGAGGGAAAAGGCCTATAATTTTGACAGAGAGTGCACCTGTACTATCCCCTTTCACCTTCCAGAGAAAATGCAGGTAAGTAAAAGCAGGGAGATTTTCACTGGCCTTTATTTTGCCAGACTTCTGTTTCCTTCTAGGCAGGAAGTTTATGATTTCCATTACCAAATGCTTCCCAAAAATGAAAATACAGAATGGAAGGGGGCAGGGGCTCTTGTAAAGGTCAGGTGCTGAGTTCATGCCTCCCCTTTTTGGTGTTTCATTCTTCCCCTTTGTTTCTCTGTTTCAATGTTTTTTTTTATTTACAGTTTTGTAACTTAATTCTTAACAATCAGTCAAACAGATTTTACTCCAAATGTCAGCACAGGAGGGGGTCATCGAGAGTGCTTAGTGTAATCGCTCATTTTAGAGTAAGAAAACTGAGGTGCTGAGAGGTTAAGTGACTGGACCATGGTGACACAGTGAGTTCATACTGGGGGTCACACACCTGGTAAAATATTCCTTTGGTCCCCTAAACCATTCTGCACATGCAGTTGCCTAATTCCTAGGGAGACTGTTGGCCTGGCTGTCAGGCACTGTGGGGAATGTCAAAGAAATATTAAGATGTGTTCCTCCTCTCGGGCTTGATTCAAGTCCAGGTCCTCCGAGAAGCAGACTCCAAGACAGGGTTAGAGATGCGAGAGATTTATTAAGGGAAATGCCTGGAGCAGAAAATAAGACAGGAAGAGGGAGAGCTGGGGAGTCGACCCTGAAGAGAAGGAGAGAAAAAGGGAAGGAGGGGAGGACTAAAGAGAAAAAAAAAAAAAACAACCAGAAAAAGGAACAAAGAAAAACAGTAGGACTGAGAGAGAGAGGGTAGAACTGAGGGAGGAGACTGTGAAGAAGATAAGAAGGAAAGTAGGGAAGGGAGAGGAGAAAGAAGCCAGGAGGAAAGGTTGGAGAAATGTCTTAGCCTGCAGTGCGTTCTTCAACAAGTTTCAGCAAGGCCAACAGGGAATCATGGAAGACCTCTAACAGACAGTGGAGTCCTCACCTAGGACCTAGCGTCCCTGCTGTGTCCAAACACTGGCTGCAGGCAGCTGGGGGAAGAATGCCCTTTCAAAACACAGCCGCTCAGGCCACTCATTTCTACAGTAAGATATCTGAGACGTGCTTTTTCATGGCCTCCATGGACTTACCCGATAGTCAAGACTTAATCAAATGAAAAACAAGGCAGTGTTCTTCTCACTGAACTGGCCGCACCCTTTTTCACAGATAATACCACAACGGATGAACTTAGGTCCCCACAGACATCTGTTTAAACTGCTGCCCACTGAACATTCCACTTCAAAATCCTGCTTCCACTTCAGAATCCAACTCTAGAAACTCAGACTTCACCATTATCTACTGGAAAACCCTCCTTACTTCCCTTCCAGTAAAAGATCCCCTCACTCAGAGTCAAATTATCCTTCTTTTAAAAAAATAACAACAAACCAACAACAAACAACTATCCTTACCCTCACCGTTCACATCCAAACCTCTACTGTGTGAATGTTGTTCTTTAAGCCGCACCTCTCCCCTGTCCCTGTTCTCTCTCCTCCCCAGCTTCTTGACCATCCCAGTCAAGGCCATCTGTGATCCGAGCAGCCTGGCTACTCTTCTGGCCTTTACTTTCTCCTCACATTAAGTTAACAGTTGTTTGCAGAATAAATGAAAACTCTCCCTTCCCTCTGCACAAAGACTAAATGAACTCTTTCAAATTGTTCAAATTCTTCCTCTGAGAACCAGCTAGTTTTCCATCTTTTGGCCCGCAGAAGACCTTGTATTCTTGCCACCCCAATCAAGTTGCTTTTCCACAAACACATCTAAGTTCTTTCCACTTTTGTTTAGAAATCTCTCCTCCTGCTGCTGCCCCAGGTCAAGATCTGTCCTAAAACCTTAATACTTATAAATCTCCCTTGAACTTTCTTTTCACTCATGCTACCAGCAAGAATTTGTCCATATTCTACTCCTGGAAATGCTTTTTCCACTCTTCTCATAAGACTTAACAATAATTTGTTATAATTTCCCATAGACTCATTTTCTCTACTTATAGTAATGTAGCTGAGGATAGGGACAAGGTTTAATTGCCACAAACCACAGCTGCCTACCCACAAGAATCTGCATCACATACTCTTCTTTCCCTCCGGTTACCAGAGGGGAACTCGTTGTGTCCTTAGAGGGATCTTCTTTCTCCACTTATCAGTAGATGCCATCCTTCCTAGCCTTTGCAAGAATTTAACCTAGAACTGCTCTCTTCTCTTGTGTCATCAAATTTCTACTTACATAATCCTCACCAGTATTGTTGTTGTTGTTTGTGCCATCGAGTTGCCTATGACCCATAGTGAACCCTGTCCTGTTCTGAGTCAGTCTCACTAATTTCAACACACCAACCCCCATTGCCCCAGTTACTGTATCCATCTTTTCTCATGTCTTCCACTCCTACACTGTCTCTCCAGCCTTCCAGGCACAATGTCCTTCTCCAAGGACTGACTGGGCCCTCCTGGCCATATGTGCAAAGTATGTGAGACAGAGCTTCAGGATCCTAGCCTCCAAGGAGAAACTTGGTTTCACCCTCCCCAAGATATATTATTTCATCTATCTTTAAAACAAAACAAAAGCCCCTCTTTTTAACTTCTCTGCCAGTTATGTAGCAGTTGTTTCTTTATCCTAGAGCAGAAAATATTCCAAGTACTGCCAAAATTAAAAAAGCAAATCTGTCTAGGAGAGAGTGCAACCAGGATGCTCCTTAAAGGCAAGGATAGTGAAACTGCATGGCCTACCTTCTGGGCATGCTGTAAGGAGGCACAAGACCTTGGAAAAAGATAAAATGGTGAGAGAAGTAGAGTACCTTTAATGAAATGGATTGGCATACTGACTTTAACAATGGACTTGAGCATGGCAGAGACTGAAAGGAAAGCACAGGATAGGGCAAGCTTTCAATCCATTGTTCATAAGGTCTCTGTGAGCAGTTGTTGTTGATTGCCATCGAGTTGAGCCCGACTCATAGCGACCCTATGAACAAAAGGCTTGAAGCCTTTCTATAACTATAGTTATTTATCAAAGTTCATAGAATTTCTGGAGGTATGTTGTTTAGGAAGTGGATGCCACTCAACTCAGTAACACCTAACAGCAACAACACATTAGCAGAGAATCTCTCCAAAGGGTCAACTTCCAGTTTTTCTTTTCCATTCATTCTAACAATGTTTTTGCTTTCACTGTTTACTGAAATGGTAAAACTACCCATAACTTTCCCATAGAAAAATTCAGAAGAAGTCACTTGGTGGTACTGTGGCATCATGTTGTTGTTAGGTGCTGTTGAGTATGTCTCATAGTGACCCTATGGAGAACAGACCTGAATCCTGTCCTACCTTGTACTGTCCTCATCATCTCTGACACACTTAAGCCTGTTGCTGTAGTCATCAGGTCAATACATCTCGTTTGGAGTCTTCCTCTCTTTCGCTGACCCTCCACCTTTCCAACCATGATATCCCTTTTGAAAGAATAACCTCTCCTAGTGACATATCCAAAGTATGAGAAACGAAGCTTCGCCATCCTTGCCTCCAAGGAGCACTGCCTGCACATTTGGCAAGACGTATGTTTGTTCTTTTGGCAGTCCATGGGATCATCTGTACTCTTCTCCAACACCATAACTCAGAGGCATCAGTTTTTCTACCATAATTATTCATTGTCCAGCTCTCAGATGCATAGCAAGTGATTGAAAAGATCATGGCCTGAATTAGATGCACCTTAGTCTTCAAACTGACATCATTGCTCTTCAGTATTTTGGAGTCGTCCTGAGACCAGACTTTCCCAATCCAATCTTCTGATTTCCTGACTTCTGGTACTGAGGGTATTGACTGTGAATTCAAGTGAGATAAAGTCGTTCACAGCTTCAATCCTTTCTCCATCTATCATAATGTTGCCTAATGACCCAGTGGTAAAAATCTTTGTTTTCTTAATATTGAGCTGTAATTCATATTGAAGGCTGTAGTCTTTTACCTTCTGCAGCAAGTGTTTCAGGTCTTCCTCACTTTGAGCATGCAAGGTGTGTCTTCTACATAATGCAGGTTGTTGATAGGTCTTCCTCCAATTCTGATGCCACATTCTTCTTCACAGAGTCCAGCTTCTCAATTATTTGCTCCGCATATAGCTTGAATAGATATGGGAAAAGGATACAGCCGTGACACAAACCCTTCCTGATTTTAAACCATGTAATGTTCCCTTGTTTTGTTCAGGCACCAGCTTCTTGGTGTAGATATAGATTTCATATGTGCAGAGTTAAGTGTTCTGGAATTCCCATTCTTCTCAGCGTTCGCCATAGTTTGTTATTAAATATAGGTAATTGTCCCAGCATACTGATTGCTGCTGGATACCACACGTCCTAGCTTCTCCTCCTATAATTGGGTCTTCTCTGATTTCTATTTTGGTTGCTCCAACTCTTCCTAAACTCCTTATGGTAAGGTCTCCAAGACTTTGGTTGTGGCATTGTGTCTTTTTCTATTTATATACACTGTCTTCCTTGGCAATTAGGAGTTGGAATTTGAGTCAGTGGCAGTGAGTTCCATTTGCTTGAGTGGTTCTATCACCCAGTCTTGTGGTTTTAGCTATTATCTATTCTGTCTTCTGAGCACTGCCAAGAAGATGTGCTGCAGTCCCAGCGGCTCACAGTCCAAATCCACCAGCTGCTCTGCAGAAAAAGGATGGGCAGTCTCCTCCCCTGCGATTAACTGCCTCTGAAAACCTACCAGAGGGTCAGTTAGGGATCGGTTCTGATCCTACAGTACACAACAACAACATTCTGTGTTCTATTTCTAAACGAAACCTCTCTTCCAAATGTGACACTTATATTTCCAACCACCTATTTGACTAATCCTCCGTTGTGATGTCTAATAGATAATTGAAAATCAACATTTTTAAAGCTTTAATGGTATCTAGCTTTCTCTCCTCTTAAAAAGAAACATCATATTCCTTCCCTTTTTCCTTCTTCCACTCAACCTTCTTTATATCAGTTTATATAGCAACTTCCTCCTTATGGCTGCTCAAGTTAGAAGCCCAGG